GCATCGTGAACAAAGTGAAAAGTTAAAAGAATCTTTTAGAGTTGTTGAATAATTATATTGCAATATTTTTTCTTGAACGAAAAAAACTTGATTTGCTATCCAATTTGGTGTAAAAATTCGTGTATACACATATTTGACATCTTTGGTTCGATTGCCTCTATGGGTAGTTTTGTAATATCATATTTGTATTTTTGTGTTTGCAAATCAACTCCACAATATAAACACTTTTGACAACTAAAGCAGGTTCCTCGTTTGTACTTAAGTTTTGTATCTAGTGCATCTGCCATTATATTAATACGATAATAAAGACAAAATAATATACATTACAATAATTTTGTTTATATAACGATAATGATTAAATGGGTACTATGTGCAAGGTGCTTAATTGTTATATGACTAATGATATGAAAATCACAACAGATATCAATAGTTATCTAAGTTAAAATATGTGCTGATTAAGCACCTCGCACTGATAAAAAAGTTTAATTATTAAATTTCTGATTTCCCGATTCCCCATATGGGTATATGTCATAAAAACCATCTGTTTACACCTTTTTGAAAACAGCTGTAATACGAGAGTTGGCAACTAGAATAGTAATATGAGATATGCATTATTCTGAAGTTGTAGGTATATAATTTTTAGTCCTTAGTACAGATTAAAGTGCATTTTAGTTTCTTTTGTCAAATAGCTCTATATATAGATTTTTATGACCATGCAGATAGTTTTTTACCCAGTTAGCAGATTTTTATATCTGTAGACAAGTTTTTTTAGATTTTAGAAGTCTTTTAACTCCTTTATAATTTGGTCATTTTCTTTGTATATTTGTTTTTTTTTACTTACCTCTTTTTCATTCTACACTTACCACTTTTTTTTCTTTTTTATTTCTCTATGAGAAAGTGTTATCAGATTGGCAGCACTTTATTATAGAGCAGTGATTTTGACAAAGTTAGTGAAAACCATCTTTTGATCTCCAGACTTATATCTCCAGTAAGTTGAGGATTCTGGAAGAAGGAAAATATTCACTTAGGCGGGTTGCTCCTGGGTTGTACTCTAGCATAAATTTGGGGTTTACTTCATTTTTATTGCGATAATGAGATGGATCGAGAGATTCTTTATTTGTAATAGGCATAAAGTATTTCTTATAAATAATGTAGGTTTAGCTAACTGAGATATCTTGTTGTAAGGTACTGCTGATATAAAAAATAAAGGAAGGATTGCTGAAATAAAAAATAAAAAAAATTTTTATAATAAAGTTTATAAAATATATTTTTAAAAATATATTTTATAATTTTTTTTTTTGTATTAGTAGTCTCGCTAATATCTTTATAAGATCAAAGCATATATACAAAGTATACTCAAACTATCTAAGTTACAAATCTGATATCACTCAGCTTTTTTTTTAGAGGCCCAAGTGCGGTCTGCCTTACTGGTTAAAGCTATTGTCTGTACTAGAGAGCTATACCAAGCTAGTCTAAGAAACTATTACAAGATGGTTTCAAAACAAAAGAATTTCTTACTAAATTATATTAGCAATTTTTCCTTCTAAACTATTTTCCTTTTTAAAACAAAATTCTAAATCTAATTTTTTAGTAATAAACAAAATGACTTCCTCTTTTAATACAAAATTATTGCCAAGATTCAAATCTTCTTTAATATAGGTGGGTATATATAAATTATTACAAGATTTTAATATATAAAATCTAACTAATTTGAGCTAATTTAAATTCTAACCTTAACTCTAACCCTAATAATTTAAAAATTACTTAAATTAATTCAAAATAGTTAATTTATATATATTATAATTGTATAATAATTATATATGCCTATTTATACTAAAGATCAACCCAAGAGTCTCTTGTTTGTATTTGTATTTTCTTTTTCTTTTTTTTTTAATTTAATCTATCTTTTCTAATTAGAAACCCAGCTCTTGGGAGTCTTTTTATATTCTTTTCTATAATCTTTTCTTTCTGTTTTATAGCTTCATATTTCTTTTTTTCTTCTCAAAAACTTGTTCTATGGGTTTCTTCTAGTAATATTCTTCTATGCATTTTTTTTTCTTTAAAGTACTTTGGGTCTTCTTTTGGTTTTTTTATTTTTAGATCTTGGTTCATCTGTTTAAGTTTTCTTTCTTCTGTATTCTGGATATAGGAGTTTTTTTTTTTTTTTTCTTTGTCTTCCTTCTCTTCTTTTTCTTTCTAAGAATTAGATCTTTTTCTAGAAATTTTCTTGTATTTCGTTAAAAATTTTCTGATTTCTGAGATGTTCTACAAAAATCTTTTCTACTATCTCTAATAATATATTCTTTTTTTCTTTTTCCAATTCTTGACAACTTTTGGTCTAGATACTAATATGCTTTGAAACAAATTTATATCTAAGTTTTATTGAGACTTCAGCCCATATATCTATTTTGTGAGCAAATCTCTTTTTTTTTTTCTATATTTTATTATTATACTGTGAATCTTTAATACTTGCTTGGTATATTACTTTTGTTAACTATTCTTTTAGAGTTGTTAATATGATTTTTGGTCTTGATTTCTCTTGAATCTTGTTTAGCATCTTTGTTTTTGTGCTACTTGAAATATTTTGTCCCTTGTTTTTATTTTGTTTTTCTTTTCTGGTTTCTTTTTTTCTTTTCTAATATGCTGAGATGAATTCGATAGATATTTTAAACTGTATTACTAGAGTCCTTAATGCTAATTTATTATGCTATCTTTGTTAGGTTTTTTTTTGTTCTTGAAGTCTCTTGCTTCAATCTAAGTCCAACTTTGATTTTATTTTAGCAACTTGTTTTTCTTTTTGTTAAACTTGCATCTTTTTTTTTTTCATTTATTTTTCTTTTTGTTTCTTGTTGGTTTGTTGCGATAGTCTTGACAGATTTTTGAATTAATATACTGTAAAGTTGTTTTGTTGTAGTGTCTTTGTCAGCTTTTTCTTTGTTCTTGAAGTTTTCTGCTTCAATATACTTCTAGTTTTAACTTTAATTCAGCATGTTGTTTTTCTTTTTTTTTTAGTAATCTTCTAATTCTATCAGCTGTTTTTAATTCTACTATATAACCAACTATTTCTTCTATTATAATATAATTAATTAAGTTTTTTTCTTTTTGTATTACTTTGTAAAAAACCTCATATTCTCTTTCTATAAATACAAGTTCTGTACTCTAGTTTTCCTATATTATAATATTATAATTCTTTATTGAGCTCTACTATTTGCTTCTTGGCTACTTCCTTCAGAATAAGTTCTTGCTTAGTATATTTTGCTATTATTTTTTCTACTTGTGTATTTATTATTTTGTCAGTTATTGCTATTGTTATACTCTGAATATTTTTTATTACTCCTTTCATATCTTCTGGTGTATTAGAGTTAATATAATCTTATTTGTATATTTCTATATCTTTATGTAGTTCTTCTAATTTCGTCTTTGCTACTTCTATTGTGACAGATTTTTTTCTAGAACTTTCTGTTAATTTTTGCTTCACGTGACTTGTTGTTTTCTGACTATTGTTGTTTGTTGTTATTGCTTATTGTAGTTGTTTACCATTTTTGTTTATCTTCATTATATAATTTTTGTTGTATTTTCTTTGTTTATTTTTCATTATATATTGTGATTCTTGTATTACCAAAACAGATCTGTGATTTAGAACTAAAGCCAATTCCCCAAAAATTCACAAAATACAAAAAAAATATTAATGATTTTTTATAATTTCTTCTATTTTTTTGCCACTTCTGCTTTTTCTACTCAAGTCTCTTAAGAAACTAAGTGTTCTTGTTGTTCTTTTTCTCTTTATTTAGGGCTCTGAGTTTAGTTTTTAGTAACTCTTGTGTGTTTTTGTAGTTTTTTTGTTAATTTTTTTTTCTGAGATTTGTGTTTTGATGATCAGTGAAAAGAGTTTTGACTATACTTGTAATGAATATATTTTATAATAATTAAATATTCATAATATTAATAAATTATGAATTTTATCTTTTTTCGCATATGCGATATATCGCTACCCCCCTGTTACACAGATTGACATTATATAAACAGATAAGTATAGTTTTTTTTTTTAATTAGCTTTTTCTTTTTTTTTTCTTTTTACTAACAGGTTTTTTTTTATAGTATCGTTCCATCATTTCGACGCGTCGTTGGATTGTCACTTCTTTGTTTGCTTCTGGAGTCGTATTTGGTGTTTCGTCATGTTGGTAAGTGCAGCCTTTTTTTTTTGTTACTGTATATTGTTCGTCTTTTCTTTACTAAC